GGGCGGCCCTGTGGGCGCGGGGGCAGCTGGGGCTCGGGGTCCTGGGGTCTGTGCCCAGAAAGTTCCCACGTGCCTGCGGCGCCCGGCCCCGCACCCGCCCCCGGCTCCCGGCTCCTTCACGTCTCCCCTGCGTTTCTCTCCTGCTTTTTCATGATGTGGTTCAACAATTTCAGACTCAGGGTGATCGTCTTACGGGCCCGTTTTATTCTGGGTGGGTGGTGAGTGAATCGTGCCGTCCTCCAGGAACGATGGGCCAGCTCTGCCCTGTGGTCACAGGTGTCTCCCCACAGGTTGGGTGGTGTGAGTGTTCAGTGACACTGGGGGTTTGGAAACACCTGCCCCTGTTTCTCCTAATGACAAAGGGCCACGTGCTCAGAGTCACCCACACGCAGTGTGTCCGTGTCCGAGTGAGACGGGAAGTGCCCTGTCCTTTCTCCTGGGCTCTGGGGAGGGGGGAGGGTCCCGGGCGCTGGTGGGAAGAGGAGGCTGTGCAGATGCAGGAGGTGACAGCTGTGTCACGACCCCCGTCTCCCCGTCCCGGCTGGGAAGGGGCCCTTCCTCCTCACAGAGTAGAGGGGCTCCTGGAGCCCTCACTTGGGCCGACGTGGACAGGCCCGTCCTGGACCCAGGAGAGGGAGGGGCTGCCCTGCCGGCCTCTGTGAGCCCAGGTGTCTGTGGGAGACGAAAGGCTTCACCCCGGGTGACGGGCTTGGAATGAAGGTTAACCTCCAGGACGGGGAGGTGGGCTGATCCTCGATGCTGCAGGGGAGACCCCAGGGCCCCGGTGGGCCCACTCCCCTGTCCCTGAGGCAGCCCCAGCCCAGCCCTGCAGTCAGGGGAGCTCAGCCCAGCCCACGCCCACACCTGCCCCCTGCTGGACAGCGGTGTCCCTGCAGACCTTTTCCATACACAGTCATGGGGACCTGGCCCAGGAGGCAGAGCCCATGGGATCTCACTCAGCTGATCTCAGGTTCAGGCTCACAGCCCAAGTCAGTGTGGGAGAGGCGGTCAGCGGGGCCCCGGGTGCCTGCATGTGCCCCTCGAGGGCTCCAGACGCAGCCCAGCACCCCTGATGGAGCCCCGTCTGCAGCTGGTCACTCAGGCGCCTGCAGCTGTGGGCACCCAGGCCCGCGAGGGGCTGCCTGCTGCTCAGGGCTCGCTGTCCTCAAGCCACAAGGTTGCTGGTGGCTACACGTTTGCTACGTGTTGAATGATTGCTGTCTGTGCAGGTGTGGCCTGGGCCCTGTCACTGTGCCCACTGCTGGGTGCTCTGGTCAGGGGGGCGATGCCCGTGTGCTGGCTGGTGTTCCTGCCCACCCACAGGGACGAGGTCCTCTGTGCCTGACCCTCTCTGTCGCATGGAGCCCGGCTGGGGCACAGTCTTCCTGGGGAGCAGAGCTCCTGACCCCCCATGCGGCTGGAGCAGGTGGGGGGCTGAGGGGTGCATGTGGCTACCATGGTTGTAGGGTTGGCTGCCACCTCCTGCGGGTCCCGGGGTCTCAGGGGCTGGGTCTCTTACTGGGGCTCCTGCAGAACCCCCTCTGGGTCTCAGCAAGGGAGCCCATCCCGCGCTGTGCTGCTCATGGGGTCCCCGCAGTGCTCCGCACCCCTCATCCTTGCCGATGGCCATGTCCTCCTGTCCTCACTGGCTCCCTCCCCCTCCCTGGCAGGATCCTGTCCCAGGGCCCAGAGGCCGGAGCTGCCCCATCTCTGAAGTCCCAGCCCCTACGCCCTGAGCCACCGTCTCCCAGGACGCACCGCCAAGTCACCTCTGATCATGGCCCATTTCCAGAACCTTCCATGGTGCTCCCACTCGTCATGGGGGCTGTCCCGGGACAGTGTTGATGAGGAGACAGGGATTAGGGGTTTACCTCTCGGATGATGAGCAGATAAAGGAGACGAATGACCTCCTTCCAGCGTCTGGGACAAAAGCAGCTCCTTGGGCGGGTCCCTGGGACCCGGCCTGGCCCCACCGCACACACCGGGGTCCTTCCTCCTGTTCTTCCCTGTGTCTCCCGTCCTGGCTCGGCATACAGTCGGCACCACATAAATGCTCAATGCAAGGAGGGGATGAGCAGCAGAGGGACGCAGGTGGACACGACACCGTTGTGTTGGAGGCCAGGGATCAGGTGTCCGCCCTGAACACCAGCACCTCTCCTGCCGCGGCCGAGCCCACGGGCCGTGTCACTGCTGGGGTTCGTGTCCCCAGTGGCCCCTCAGCCACTGCCTCGAGTGTGCACATATGCCCCGGCGGGGGGAAGCATGAGAAGGGGGCTCCTGGAGAGGGGGGCCAGCGTTCCAACGCCACAGGTCCTCAGCCAGCTCCACTCCCGGGCTGGGCACCCCAAGGCAGGGGCCTGCCGGCCAGCAGCCAGAGCTAGTCTCATTGTGAGCTGAGTGGGGGTTTGCTAGTGACTGGTGACCGCCCCCCACATTCATGTGTTGAAGCCCTAACCACCAGGGTGGTGGCCTTTGGGGGGGCGTCTTTAGGAGCTAATTACGTCTGGGTGAGGTCATGAGGGGGAGCCCAGGGTGGCCCAGCCTCTGCCCCGTCGCCCACCCTGCGGTCATGAGTTAGTGCGTCCGCCCCGGAGGAGGGGCAGGGTGGGAGCCCTGCTCAGTGAGGGCGACAAGGTATAGCCGTGGCCTGGCTGGCGTGGCTCAGTGGTTGAGCATCGACCTATGAACCTGGAGGTCACGGTTCGATTCCCGGTCAGGGCACAGGCCCGGGTTACGGGCTCCATCCCATGTGGGGGGTGCAGGAGGCGGCCGATCCATGATTCTCTCTCATCACTGACGTTTCTTTTCTTTTAAAAAGTGTTTTTATTGATTTTTAGAGAGAGAGGAAGGGGCGAGAGCGACAGAAACATCCACGAGAGACATCCATCAGCTGCCTCCTGCGCACCACTGCCCTCTGGTGGCTGGTCCTCCGCTGGGTGTGCACGCGGCCACCAGGTGGCGCCCCCTCCGTCCTGTCGACTCCCTGTGGCACCTGTGAGCCCAGGTGTGTCTTCCCACTTGATTTTCTCATTCGTGGGGTGGCCCCTGTGACTACCGGGAGCCTAGAGCCGAGAGAAGGAGGCGCAGACATCATGTGACTTGGGGACGGTCATGGGGGGGCCAGTCTCCCTAGGACACAGGCGACCCCTGAGGGATGGAGACAGGGCTTGAGCCGGGACCTGGAAGGACGCAGGTGCTGGCAGGGGGACAGGGACGGGGCACCTAGGCCAGCCAAGGCGGGCACCTTCCTCGAGGCCC